CACTACAGGTTGACAAGTGGGGAAAATTGGCGCCATTACATCAAGCGCGCTGCTTCCGTGCACATTGAAAGGSAATTAAAGAGCCACGACTTAGTGAAGTGCGTTCCTTCGTAGGCAGAGTAAATGTCATCTAAACAGCATTAAACGTTACCTTCAACTCAAAACCAAAACTCGAGACTTAAATTAAAATAATAAACTCTCAACCGGAAAGATTATGTRTGGTTTGACGTAAGAATTGGCGTARAAAAGRAAGACTTTTTGGAYCATGGTGTCAGAAGTAATGACAAAGGCGTGTCTTTTTGACGTACCGGTACATAAAGGGGGACAAGCAAATAATTAAGGGCATATATCCGTGTCGCTTGAAAAAATCGAAAATGACARGAATTAGTGAAAGATGTCAAAGTTAGTTAAGCAATTGCTAGTCAATTGACAGCCTGTAAAAGCAAGWAAGACATGGGTAAACACCACGTCGACAATCGGTCATGTTTGGTGATAGTTACTTGATGAAATGGCTAAATTGGTACGGACAGGAATCCATTACAAACACTTGAGCGTGTTCCTCAAACAAGGTTACATTAAATTGTACAAAATGATCCTTTTAGCTCGTTTGCCAAGTGAAATTTTGAAATCAAGAAAAAACGTAAAGTTTGTTCGAGAAAAACAAAAACCTCTTTTGAGTATAAGGTTAGAAATGTGTATTGTTAAACTCTGAAATCACATGATAAATAACTTCCAGTCATGTCTTGTTACATGTTTCACAATACTAAACGCTTTTGCTAGTTTGGTAGTAAGCGAWATCCAAAACTGTAGCGTCTAGTGGATGGMACGACGTCAGAAACAAAAGACCRCGCATTTTCATGATAAAGTTTTCAATCAACCSTCTTRCATTTCTAACAAACATTTGTTCTGTATTCTCATGTCGTAAATACCTCATTATTATATATGTTTCGTTCTTACAATCATCTGGAGATGATGCGAAATACTGGCGAGKTTTTCTTGTGAAGAGTAAACACCTACAATAACACTGTATAGTAACGGAATGAACTACTAGCGACTCTCCTTCATATACCGTCCTATTCGTAAGGCCACCAGACATGGAACACTTGGCTTACACTTATACTGAACGATGAATCTAAGGAATGACGCTTCAAATAAACTAAACGCAAACCAGGGTCAGCCTAAACTCAAATCAGCTTAATTAGTTTTGCGGAAACGATTCAGTAAATAATAAAGACACTCGATAAAAGGACTTCAAGTTCTTGACGCTGAATATGCAAAGATCGGGTGTAGCTGGATAGATAGCATAGGGTAGCCGTCATGAATAAAATACACAGCGTCCAAAACACACACAACCAGAAGTAACATCTCGTCTTTTGTCCCGAAGTTAAGAGTACTATAAGGTCATTTGTTGCGCTTTGTGAAAAAATCAAGGGGCACATAACACAATACTGTGTACAATCACATTGAAATTCCGTTTTAACGGATCGCGAAAGGCTTAAGGAACGTTACGCAACACCTATATTCAAAAATCGTTTTTGGAGGTAAAAAAACAGCTAGACTTCATAACGAAGCAACTAGGTTGTTCATTCAAATCAAATATAAAGTCAGTGTGCGCCCATGTAATGATACGCATATGCTAATATCACATGAATTCTGAGATGATGTTTCGGGATCATTGTTTTTTTACAAAATAGCATCATACACATGTAGAACTTTATAATCAACACTGTTTTTTCAAGGTTAGACCTTGTACTTGGATATATTAACAAAYAGACTCAGATTAAGGCGTGACTAAAGATTTACTAATGGTCAAAAGTCTATCAGATTGGTGATTGGCGTCTCTATCAATCGACTAACCATCAACCTGGGTATCTTTACTAAGATTAAAGTGTAAAGACACAATTACAGTGAACCAGAGTCGCACTTACAATATTTTAGTAAAAAGTATATACAAATGAAAACAAGTGATATTAACGTGCGCTATTTCACGATGCTAAGTACTGAAATCAACATGTACAGGTCATTCAAGTTCATTGGTGGGAACGCAAAATCTCTTTTCTAAGGAGACACGACAAGCAAGCTGGTCATGAGCGAAATAACAAACCAGTACAACATTAATCAACGGAAAGATTTGCTTATTGTATTAAATCTGATTTGCCGGGCAGGTTTTCCACTTTTCTATGGTTGAAAATGTTTTGATTAGATACTTTCAATGCAAACAATGGGTGCTTGTTTAAGTGTCTATATGTTAGAACTGAGGAAAGAAATRCAAAGTCCACTGGACATTGCTTGATATTCTCTTATTCCATAATCTCTTTTGTTTTTCGGTCACAGTTTACTCATTTCACTCTCTCACTCATCCATTTAATCTTTTTGTTATTCATTTATTCACACAATACTGTACATGACAAAATAATCAGAATACGTGGCTAAAAAGGCATCCTTTAGAATACAAGGAAAACCAATCTACAGTTTTTACTCCGCAATCATTTTAGTTCAAGGTTCAAACACTTATTATCATAAGACTAAGTACAAATCCGGCCCTAAGCCCTGTGGGTTCTCYTGCCACTACTCGCTATACCGGTAGTAATGAAGCAATTTCCTGTAACACCAAACACTTGCTATCATCATTTACTTTAATCAACATGTGAAGTTTTTCCTGTAGTTCTCAGGTGCAAGTTTACTCAAATGTCTTAACTGTCACGAACAAAATTATCAAATTGAAGTTAAACAATAAAATTACAATACAAATTCTTCTTAACAAAACCACGAGGTAGGTCGATATGGTATATGGTACTCAAATGCTTTTTCCGCAATCCTCGAATGGCATGTAAAGACTCCCTGCATTACTAAATGTCTTATTAAGTTATTATTCTTATTTGTAACGAGGTAACTGTAAGAGAGAGCTGATTTAACTGCCTCTTCCTTAGGCTCTCCTCTGGTTGAAAACAAAGGTAACCCAAACTTGAATTCAAGGAACAGAAGAATTTGTAATGTTAAATGCGAGCAATTATCAAATTAAAACCGTTAAAAAGGTTACACAAAATTATAACGTGAGTACTTTCATAAGAAAAATGAACTAGGGATTATTTGATAGTCCAATGAAAGTTATAGAATGTTGAAATAAGTAAAAAAAGGTTTCTTATTTTAACGGTGCTAACTTATGATAGTTATTCCCCAAACAACGCTTGAAAACGTTAGTCCCAGCGAAGCCGGTGCCCTGCCCTACTTACATGCACCTTGGCATTCACCAATTAGACAAAACTACTATAGAACAATGGAAAACAACTGAGTCTATTATGACTTGGCAATGTTAGTGTTAAGAAAGAATATAACTGACTCTGATGTTTACCACCCTAAGACCAGGTGGTATGGAGCACAATCTAAACACCAGATAAACGGGAACAACATGTTAATTGTACCAGTAAAACTCGTGGTTTTGTTAAACGTTACTGCTTGCCTTATCACTGACGTATTTACATAAGGATTGACAGGAATATACTAATAAATCTTTACATAAAACTGTGTCGTGTTTGCTAAAGGTATTTCTTAGTCTTGCTTACACTTTTCTTGTCAAACAACTCAATTCCAAATAAACATTCACTGAAAATAACTGAAAATAAGGAAACCCCATACCCGTTAGATTACAGGTTTTGTTTTGTTTTCATGTTTGTTTTTGTTGCTTGTAATTATTCTATAATCCGGTGAAAAGTCCCTCTAAACACATAAAACAATGTCTAAATAACAAAGATTGAAAGAAAAGGGCTTATATAATACCCAGTATTTCATAACAGTAGGGTTTTAGTGCATCTCGGCATAAAACAAAAAGATCCCAAAAAAGACCGATATACGCCCCCTCGACCCCCCTCCCCCGCCGAAAAAAATTAAATAGAATGTAAGAAAAAATAAAATAAAAAAACAAATGAACAGTCTCAAATTTCCATAGACGCAGTAAGAATTCAAAGACAGACCGTTTATTTACTTGGTAGTTCTTATTTCTTCCTAAGCCACTATTCTCTGACTATACGTCAGAAAGATGTTACCATTACTTTAAGATCAGAGGATTTCCCTTAAAAATTAAAACTGTAGCTACCAGCTACTCCATTTTTTTTAAAATAAGCGTCTTTACTGTCGGACCGACAAAAACACGAGAAACAAGCACACCGTTAATTACGGCCGAGAAAATACGAGATCCAAGAAAACCTCAACTTGTGGCCCAACACTGTCACTGTTAAAATTTATCGTCGTCTTTTCTCGGTTTTCAAATTTCCTGGGGATTGGAAACTTGTCGTGCAACACTGAAAAAATAGGCCATGAAAAAACGAGAAACCGGCCATGTACGTAACAATAACAATTAATGTTGCAAGAAAACATCTCCGCCTTTAATTCTAACTTGACTTATAATTAGTCTAAGCTTCGAGTTTTGGGGAACGTGCCATACCGAGTAATTTTCACTGATCGCACGTGCATTTCTTAAGAGTAATACACCACCATGATGACCGCACATGACAACAAAACTGGTCATTACTTGAGTCAGTAAAAACTACTAAGCTAACACCTCTACCCTTACTATTGCTATTAGCACATAGAGGAACTTCTTTCACACCGTTATACGTCCACACGTTCTCTGCAAAATTGATTGGTCACTTACAAGCATGTTTCTATCATATCAGTTTCATAGGAGTGTCAGAGCTTATCTACTAGCTCTGTCCGAAAGTAACGCGACCAACCAGGGTTTGAGTTCATCTATCGTATAATAACATGTAAAATAAAATAAAATAAAAGTAACCGATTTTTGTGCGGAGTTTCTCCAATACACGTATGATTAAAACATTCAAAACACATGGTTTGTTTAAATAGACTTTAAAACGTTCACCTGTTCTGGTGGTCTCATTACACTAGTGRAAAAAATGAAAATGAACAAAAAAATAGAAAAATCAAAGTGKGAAAAAATWGATATGTTGAACATGAAGCCTATAGACTGTGTTAATAAAACAGAATTTGGAGTATATTTTTTAATTAATGCAGTACTACATTGCTTCTTGACGTTATCGCCGTTATATTACCATTTCCATATTACTGAGAATCATAATCAGTTATTTTAGAGTACAGTTGCATGTCCTTAGGTGTCAAGGGTGTGGTTACACGTGCTTATTGTATGGGTGTTGCATACCCGATGTTGACAAAGTTGGAACAAAGTCAAGGGTGTGGTTACACGTGCTTATTGTATGGGTGTTGCATACCCTTGATGTTGACAAAGTTGGAACAAAGTCAAGGGTGTGGTTACACTTGCTCATGAAAAAAGATTGAAAGCCAAGTATGAGAAAGAGCTTATGGTAAGGCTTGAAGAAGAGCGAGGGTGTGGTTACTCGTGCTCACGAGGGTGATATGATGTAAGGTTGAAAAGGAACCATAGTTGATTTCTCGTGACAAGCGACGATCCACGTGGGCTTGATAAAAGCCAGTGAAGCATTTTCACTCAGAGCCTGAGAATCAGGAAGGTTATATTTCAGAACAGTACAGTCGATTAGYTTTAAACCTCTTTCTACATAGTCGTAAGCCCGGCTACAAGTCTTAATTGATCAATTGTTCCTCTGTATCCTCTACATTRCTATAGTCGGAAACAAACYAAYCCARCCATGTGGGATAACCTCAGTGAATGAGCATGCGTGATACGCATAARTTACGACCATTAATACTTGCAAGTATTACGCCTCGTAATTTACGCGCATCACGCATGTTTAGTATACATAGTACGCAATGCACCATGTTGCTTAGACAAAGGACAACAGGCTACGAGCCTTAAATATATGGCATGCACTATGCCATGTGGGATAGGATCAGAAAACATGATAAGAGCGTGAACAATGAGTATCTAATATCTACTAGTGCCATGCTTATAGCTTGCGCTGGCACTGTTACTGAATATCGCAAAGCCTCTTAATATATTGTCAAAATACTTTTGCATTTAGTGCTAACATAACTTGTAAAAGATAATACAGTCAAACACTTACATCTTCAAAGTTTTGATCCCAAGTTTCATTTGTAATCACAAAGTCTACAGACTCTGTYATGTAGTCTTCCAAAGTACTGAAAGAAATATGATTTGAAAATGTTACAAAGCGATGTTTTCGTTAGTCTTGTCCACATGCAGCTGCATTCTATTGTTTTCCTTGGTTTCACGCGATTATGACGTAGTACCACAGAGAATTCGAATTTCACTAACACCGCGTGCCTGCGCTCGCCATTATAAAAGCGTGCACTTGTTCTTTTCTTCCCCATTTCTCGTTCACAAAAACAACTAAACATAACAAAATATATATCTTTAAAAAGAATAGTCTAGTCTTTGAATCAATAGTTGGGCTGCCTGCAGTCTACCTTAACTAAGGGTCTTCTCCCAAAATACTTTATTCCCCTGGTGCCTACCCATCATAGGCTGTAATGTAGCGAATGAGTGTTCTACGTGTGGATTGGTCCATTTCTCCATACAATAGGTATGGTACCTACCCATCATAGGCTGTAATGTAGCGAATGAGTGTTCTACGTGTGGATTGGTCCATTTCTCCATACAATAGGAAATGTTTCTTTGAGAAGAAATCAGGGAGCTCAGGAAACTCATCAGGACCAGAGCTGTCATCTTGTTCTTCATCTAGAGGTCAAAATTTATAGAATGAATGACGAAAGGAAAGAAATGAAAGAATGGATGAATGAATGAYAGATAATATAGAGATGAACAAATCAACCAATATGGGAAGTGAACAAATGGATGTACGAAAAAGAGAATGAATGAAAATGGGAATGGATTAAAGATGAMAGGGCACCTTTTTTGTCATCTTCTTCATTTTCTTCATCTTCAGTAGAAAGATTATAAATATCATCATCATCATCATCATCTTTCTCCTCTTGCATCCTTTGAAAAGAACAATCAATTGTCAAGTTATGCTATGCAAACAATTAAGCTTTGATTGCTATATATTATGCTASCTTTAGGTATAGAAGATTTGACAGTACTATAAATTGACCTCAAGGTTATTGCTGCCATACCKTTCAAGCTCATCTTCTGTGTCCTGATCACTTTCTGGCTCCTTTTCAACTTTTTCTTTTTCTTGTGGAATTTCATCAACAGTGTCATCACTGTCRTCATCGTTCTKTACTTTTGATGTTTCTGTGGACAGTGAATGGAATATTTAGGATATTTATTGAGATATTAAGCATCACTATCATCATAAGTAAGGAATCTGTGTATCTAGGATATGCCAAGATTGCAGAATTGTCTTCTTGTTTAAAAGGCCTAAGAGGAAGACTGAAAGCTTGAAGGGCTAGTTTTTTTATTCTAAATCATACCTGAACTATTTTTGACACCAGTATTTACATCTACAGGTCTTTCTTCCTTATCTTCTGAATRCTTTTTCTGGATGAAAATGATTTTAACAATACAAATGAATGACAGTTACTCCATTGTTGTACTTGCAGGGGTGAATCCAGGGATGTATTGGGTAAATCCTCCCCTCTTCCATTTAACTGGGSCTTYGTCAAARAAAGWKRACATCTGACTRTCCWATCACTTTGAGACAGTGATCATACCTGAACCTCAGTAGATGTTAAAGTACATRTATTTGACATATTCAAAATCACTCCACAACTTAAAARATCCTGGATCAGCCCYGRGYACACACACAGACCTTAATATCTTCARAGGTGTCAGTAGAATGTCTACTAGCCAATGGTCGTMTGCTTGGTGGTTCATCATCGCTGCTGCCTTCCTCTGATGAGCTTGTATCACCAGGAAGATGATAACTATTATGATAATAATAGAACAATTAATATGCCATACTGTTAGATAAATGTCAAGAACATACAATAGATATCCCCGTACAATAGTTCTCTAAGTAGCAGAAAAATCCTTTTTTCTAGCCCTTCCTCCACTATTTCAACATTATTGCACTACATTTACTTAAGCTAGAAGTGTACCTCTGTACCGCTCTATGTTGACCGTATATAACCGTCTGGTAGGTCTACTAGAGTATATGAAGAAAACCAATAATAAATAGTCTTACTTTCTAGTTGGCAGTTTTCTCTTTTTCCTGTGGCTGTCTRATATCCATTTTTTGGTCACAATCTTTCCTTTTCCTAAGGTAATATAGAGCTTGAGTATTTTACTAACATTTACAAGATTAGATAGCACTGTCTGCTTCTCATTGCCTAACCTTTGACTTGATAGTACTTGGGAGTGTTGGAAAATGCACAGCTAAATCGTCAAACAAAAAAGGTAGCTTATTATTTTTTTATCCATTCAATCAACCAACCTTTCATCTATTCATTCATTTTCCATCCATCTCCTATAATATACAAATTTGTCTATTAATCTGCTTACATTAGATGTGTGCATCCWGCCATCCAATCAGGTTTATATTGGGCTCCCATTTCAAGGGCTTTGTCTCTAATTTCACCACGTTCAGGGTTCTTAAACCCACTTAGCACAAACACCACATTCTTCTGCAATGATACATGAATATCAACCATTATTGACTGTAAAGACATAATAAGTTAAAAAGGAAGTTTTACCATTATATGATGAAATGGGACATCCTCTGTAGAATGGTTGCTCTCTGTGGAGTTTGAGAGGATAGGCTTAATAACTATGTATGTACAAGGAGAGCTAATACTGCATTGTAAAGTTCCCAGCACCATCTTCAAAGATGGCTGACCATCAAATTGAGACAGCAGTTGAGCTTGCAATGCTAGACATCTGTGTCAAACGATTGTCACTGCAGCCTCAAATCCTGTCTTGTTTTGATGCACAGGTTTAGCTGACTTTCAAGATGAAACTGTAAAATGGAGTAATCAATCAGAGTTTCAATAATCTTCACATACTTTTTGCTTTCTTGGAAGGTGGAGACACCTACAAGATGTAGAAATTAAATYAGGACATATAAATTTTTAATTATTTCTGTGACATTTGAATTTGAAGACAATATCATGTAGCATATAAACACAATAAAAAAGAAAGCTATCTTGCACTCTATCACAATGAAGATACACATYCATCGTTGTTTCCACAAATCACCTTAGTAGGTTTTTCCTTGCCATCAGCATGTTTTCTCTTACTTGATTCCTGAAAAACCAATTTTAAAACATTTTCTTAAATTAACAAGTACATTGGCTACACACAATAACACAAGAAAAATTTGGTAAAGCCCATTAATTTCTCCTGAGGGCAGTGTACTTTATCTGATAGTAACTCTTCATACAATATCGCAAAGTTCAAATAATACATCAAGGTTTGCTCACTCACGTCAACACCAAGAGACTGAGTTYTAGATGACACAGKTTTATCCTGTTTGACAGTTTTCAATTCCTGTTTAACAGGTTTTGATTGAGGTTTTCTTTCTCTTTCATCTCTAGGTTTACTGGCCACAGGTTGYCGGCTYTTGAACATTCCACCAACTTCTGATGTTTTAGAAGAGGAGGAAATGCTAGATGATGATACATTAGCATCTCTGACTTGGGCTGCAGTTGATGAAATTGGAGGGCTGTTCTTTTTCTTYTGAAAGAATAAACTTCCTGGCTTAATGTCATCTTCCTCTTCATCACGTAAAGTAAAACTTCCAAGCCTCTTTGGTGTCTATATTTAAAATTATTAACAACATTAACAAAGTTCCTAACATAATACTATTAGGATTTAAAATACACATAGGCTGGCAAGTGAACATCAATTTACAGTATTGAATGTTTATTCAATAATGTTTATCTTACTTGTTTATCAGATCCCCTTCCTGGCGAATCTTCTGGCGGAGAATGAAGAGAAATAAATGACAGGCCATACTTTTCATTCTGTAAATCACATTTATCACATTAATTAGACAATTAGGTTTATGGAATAAATATCACAATGATATACTTTGTTAAAGGGCTGAGTACAGACTATTTTCACTTTATCCCACTTCTCATTTGCAACTGGTTTGGACAACTTCTCAGGACCTTGGAAAATTAAATGCAAAGAGTTACCAGCATTCATATTAAACTCAAGCAAGTCTAAACTGTGTGCAAAAACTGCATTTTACACTTACCAAACATTCTGACCCTGTTGGTGTTTGTGAATGACTTGCTGTCAGCAGGACTCATAAATGATGAGGTTACGAGGAGAACCTTTATTCAAAACAAAAAATAATAATAATAATAAAAACAATTATCATCAACTCAATAAATAAATAACAAATCATACCAAATAGGGTTTTAGGGGTTTTACCTTGAATGCATCACTTGCATCTGAAGATCTTCCTACTAACACTTCAATCAGAGCTGAGCCATTGTTTCCTAAATTTATAGAATTTGTATGAATTTGTACTGTTCAGAGCCTCCTGAGAGTTAATTATACTGAAATATTGTATGACCATACCTACGTCGATAGAATGTATCTTTGTTGCCTTCTCTAACTGAAATAAAAAGTATGCCTGTTGTTTTGACATTGTTTTAGGGGGTTTTAGGGATCAATGAATTAGCTTTAAATAAGTAGTTCAACACGTTTGAGACCCTTTGGTTTARCAAAATAAGATCGGTACCTCTATGACAACTACAGCTTGTTTTTCTCCAGGTTCTGCACACCTCCATTTTCTATAAGTCTCTGGTTTGAGTAAGTTCGAGCTCGGCTGAGCCTATAGCATGAAAACAGAATCGAGCATTATTTTTTTCAGAAACAAGTCATAAAATCTCGCCAAATTCTACCTACCGTATCCTCACTGCTAAATGAASAAATGTGTTTAAGTTTTATCAAAGGCATTGTTAAAAATCAGTAGAAAAACTCTAATCAGAAAAGTTAGAAAATTCGCTTCCTCATGCATCTTCAGTCAAGCAGCCATCTTGAATCATTTGCATCATGGTGTCGAGGCTTGAAATTCCCGCCAAAAGAGTACACGGCCGCGCGCGCACAGCTCACTTGATTGATTACGTCATYTTATCACGAAGGTAAACCGTTGACTGAAAAAAATGTTGGGCAACTCTAGTAGATTTGGCTTTTCAACTTTCATTATCCAATCATTTATATTATGTGATGAGTTGTAGTTTGCCAATTAAGGGGAGTAGTTCCCTTACGGCTACTCGCGAAGCTGGATTTGTAGAGCTTGAGGAATTAATTTGCAAAGACAAAGAAGTTGTCTGGAAAGAAACTGCTCGCTGGATAAAGTTCGAAGAAGATGTGGAGGAAAGTGCTCATCGCTGGGGAAAACCACATATCCCTTGCCTAAACTTCAGTAGCATTCGCGACTTGAAAGATATACTAACAAATGGGACRATACTTCTGGATTTAGACGAAAGAAACATCAAAGACATTGCAGAATCAGTCGTTGAGCTCGCGATTTCAAATGGTCTCCCCGTCGAAGAGAGAGACGCTTTCGTTTCTTTGCTTGTMACTCCTCGGCATCAGCATGAATTAAAGAAAAGTGGCATTCGCAGATATTCCAAAGTAACCTCTACTGTCAATAATGATTTGTCTGTTATAGAGGAAGGTGAAAYAAAGGCATTTGATGGCTCAAGGTAAGAATGATATCCTGAACTTAAGTATCGAAATCTATTTCAATATCACCGGTGATTTGAAATGTTTTGTTAAACCTGAACAGACAATTAGTTTAACAGCCATGATCAAGTTTTTTTAGCGATAAACAGTTTAATATTGCCATCTCTCTAAAAAATAGATAGCATGGTGGATTCTGTAAATCCATGCGACGATTTAGGGCTTCACTTTTTTGTTACGTTTAAAATTTGAAAATTGGCATATATAGAGTACAAACATTAAATGTGTGCAACACATTGCACTATTTACTACAAAATAGTGTTAATGAAACAATAGAAAACAATAGAATTAGCATAATTTAGCAGTATTTAGTGGTATTTATGTTGCACAGTTTTTTTAGTGTTTGTACTCTATCTTGATCCGACTTCACGATTGAAATTTTTGCTTATTTCAAAAATATGGACATGAATGTTTATATTATCTTTATAGTGTTAAAAGGTCTGATCCCACTAGTTAAATGAATATTTATCGAAGATGATGATCATCCAGGTGGAGGATGTAGTTCTGAGAAGAACTGTTTGATGTGACAGRGGTTGTCGAAACGTCAGAACTGCAACATCCATCCGGATGATCATATTGTTACTTCAATAAATATTATCAATTATGGTGGTTCCTTTGATATTGTACATGTATTACGGATAATCATTTCTTTGTCAGTCTGAGGTTATCATAAGAAAYGCTTTGATTCATTATAGCAGTCTTGGGCTACCCAAGGCATCAGTAAAGATGGCACAAAGCCATTCTACTATAGAAAAACAGATCCCTAAAAATGCTGAGGCAACAACAGTCTTAGTTGGAACAAGTTCAGAACTATCGATACCTGCCGGAGCTTTTGTGCGACTCTTACGCGGATGCAACATGGGAAACCTAGCAGAAGTCTGCATTCCTGTACGATTCTTATTCATTCTACTTGGTCCTGAGAAAGACTCCCTCAATTATCATGAGATTGGACGTTCCTTTGCAACATTGATGTCAGACAAAGTGTTTCTTGAKTGTGCGTACATGGCTGAGGTTAGTCACAGAAGTMATTTTAGAAAATATTAAATTGAAAMCAAAACCGCTCTCCTCTCAGCCAATCAAGGATCGCGTGTGCATTTCAAATAAGCTATTTTTAAGGAAATAACTTAGCATACATTTTCATTTTTATTTTGATGCATTCATATTTCTATTTGGGGCACATTTTCAGAACCTCGACGATATTCTAGAAGGCATGAACAACTTTCTGCTTGACAGCATACTAATACCACCGGGAGACTGGGATCGAAATGTCCTAAGTCACACAATACCAATGCTTGCTGATCAGTCCAAACAAATTGCGACACACAGACGTCACGCAATAACAAGAATGGCTAGACCGCAGGGATCCCCAGTGRTACAAGAACCTGARCCAGTCGAAACGTTTGATGCTCTTGAGCGAACAGGGAAGTTCTGTGGGGGACTTATTCGTGACGTGAAACGAAGGTACTCTGTGTACAAAAGTGATATCACCGACGCGYTCAACACACGTTGTCTAATGGCGACCATCTTCGTTTACTTCGCCTGTCTTGCTCCGGCCATYTCCTTTGGAGGCCTCCTTAATCAGAAGACGAATGGTTGGATGGGTGTCTCCGAGATGATGTTTGCCACGGCATTATCTGGTGTCATATTCGCCCTTTTCGCTGGTCAGCCATTRATGATAATTGGCGCAACAGGTCCTCTTATCGTGTTTGAACAGAGCACTTATGTCCTCTGTGAAAATTTCGGCATTGAGTTCATGCCATGGAGAGCGTGGGTGGGGCTTTGGGTAATGGTGATATGTTTYGCGATCGTCGCCGTTGAAGGGTGTTTCCTGATACAGTACTTCACGAGGTTTACCGAGGAAATATTTGCACTTTTGATCTCAATCATCTTCATCTATGATGGACTGTCGCACATTTGGAAAATGTACGACTACAAGAACCAAATGGTTCCTGGAGAAGAATTGCATAGCTCAGAATACTACCTGAACACTGCATTGTTCTCGACTATAGTMTTGTTTGGCACGTTCTTCATCGCTCACAGCCTACGTGGGATTAGACACAGCCACTTCTTTGGCCACGTTGCTCGCCGGATTGTAAGTGATTTTGGTGTTCTTATCGCTATCGTTGCCATGATCTTCCTGGATATGATTGCTGGTGGTATTTCGACGGAAAAACTGGAAGCTCCAGGTGGTTTTACCTTGACCTCGTCTCAAAGAGAAAGTTGGTTTATTAACCCAATGGGCCAGGAACAAGCTATGTCCGTTGGCAACATCCTGGCAGCTCTGATTCCCGCAATYCTTGTAAGTATCTTGCTTTTTATGGAGGTGGAGTTCTGCAATGTCATTCTCGACAAGAAAGACAACAAGCTTAAAAAGGGACCTGGTTATAATCTTGATTTCTTCATCGTTGGTCTTCTTGTTGGACTTTGTTCCCTGCTTGGTCTACCTTGGATGTGTGCCACACCCGTTCATACAGTGTCCCACTTCCATGCTTTGTCAGTGTTAAGCACCAATAACCCACCTGGTGAGCATCCTCATCTGATTGAAGTCAAAGAGCAAAGGGTAACGAATGTGGTCATACACATTCTAATCGGCGTCACCGTCCTCCTCGCTCCAGTACTACGTCTTATTCCAATTTCTGTACTCTTTGGTGTCTTCATWTTTCTAGGAGTGTCTTCGTTATCTCACATTCAGCTGTGTGAAAGAGCTAAATTACTCATCATCCCTCCAAGCCACCATCCCGACCTGAGYTATGTGCGCAATGTTTCCACTTTAAAGATGCACATGTTCACCATAGTCCAGTTAGTTTGTGTGGTTGCCCTCGTGGTCATAAAGCTCACGCCCGTGGCTCCAGCGTTCCCRTTTTTCATCATTTGCTTGATTCCTATCAGGAAGTTCTTAGAGCGTTTCTATGAAGAGGAGGAACTTGACGAGTTAGATCACGAAGTTGACGAGRTCTATGACAGTGATCTAGACGATTATGACTCTATCCATGTTCCTGTGTAAATATAACTTGCACACTGAAAACAATATTTATTGTGTATAATTTACATATTTGTTCTACATATATATATATATCGGTGTTATCTATATTGTATATATATTTCAATGTTATAGATGGTAATGTGCCAGTCTTAAAATCAAGAACAACCCCATATATTGAGAGGASGCATTTCATTGTATAAATCTGTATAGGAGCCTGTGTTATCATAACCTTCCTCTTAGCTTGTTCAATTTTCAATGGCGTAAATTAAAACTCTAGAAACTGCAGTTATAAAAATTGAATGATGTCCATGGTAGAGGAATATCATGACATAATTTAAGATTTTTCATGAATGAATCCTACAGATTCATAAGTTTATAGTGTCRTTTGAAGTGGTACAGCATCAAGCAATTCGTGACGGTATTCAAATATTGAATCTAAACAAGACTGTCCTTGTTGTTTACCTGAAAGGCGTTAGGAAGGAGGGATTTTTCGATTTAAAATTGAGTAAATGCGATTGAAAATGACMATAACAAAATCCATATTGCAAATTTGTGAAAAGAAAGCAAGTTYASCTCTCTAAATATATGGTTGCCAACTTTACTGTTAGCTTCACCATAAAATAATTTCGAAAACGATAGTTTCGTGTACCTAAACATGCTTGCTATCTATTTCTACGTATTTATGGCATTAATGTAGATTTAACATTCATAACTATTTTAAAAACAGTCTTTGTGCTTTGTGCTTTGYCGGCTTGAAGTTCGACGCCATTGTTATTTCTCAGTGGGCAAYTTTCATGACAAATAGACAAACAGTCAAAAAARG